GCGGGGGCTCGAGGGCTTTTTGAAAGGACGCGCGGCCGGAGGACTGGAGTTTAGGGGCGAGGCCGAGGTGTTGGTGGGCGGACGGTGTAGGAACAGAGGGAAGACGGCGAAATTGGTGTTGAGTATGGTTATTGGCTTGATTTATTTATTGTTATTTCGGACCGTCTTGTAATATGACCATCAGTATCGTTAGTGTAGTGAATTTTTTTTTATTCAATCTCTCTCGCCTCCTTGCACCAGCGGTCGCCTCGCTGCGTTTGGGGTGGGTTGCTTGGTTCCTCAGTCCTCCCCCTCCTCAGCCTCCTTCTTCAACGCATCCTCCTCCACCTCCTTTATCCCCACCACCACCACCACCACCACCCTCGCTGCCACCCCTCCCACTCAGCCACCGACGTCAACGCTCCGCCCCCTCTGTAGTACCTCCGACATGGCCTCACTCCTCCACCTCTTCAACCTCCTTCCTGAGCGCATCCTCTTCCACCTCTTTCGTCCCCATTCTTCGCCCCCTCCGCTGCAAAATCTCCGCCTTCGCTACTACCTCGTTGCTTCGTTCCGGGCGCGACTACTGTACGGGATACTTACGTAATCCCGTAAGTGTAGTGCATGTTTTAGCACTCTGGAGGCGGCGGTGATCTTCCCCCAGTGGATCCGGCACCAAACTACCATCGACTAGCGGTGTTTTCTCTAACCAGGTTTCTCCCTCCAGCGAAGCACCGCCTCAGCCGGAACAAGCTCTAAGCTCCTGACGGATCTCCCGGCATTTGTGGTAGTGTAGTACGTGTTAGTGTAAATGTGTGTGAGGGGAGAGGATAGGGTAAGGAATGGGAAGGAAAAATCGCGCGATCTGTGTCCCGTTTCTTAGGGTACTACTCCGTCATTTACCTGGTATTGTTCAGAGAGACCACGGGAACCTACCGATCAGAGCAGCCGGCCGCTAAACTTCTTCTCCAAACAGCGACTGAATTCGGCCTAGTTGAGAAGCTAGTGTCAAAAATCTTGCCATCGTCGGGACTGGAACATAGTACCTCCCGGTAGAGGCACTACTGGGACATTAGTTGATGGCCTGAGCCACCACTCCCGGTCCGCGCCCGGTCCCCTTGCACCCGCTGCAACTCTCTCCGTGGTCGCTTCGCTGCATTTGCGATGTCTGCACGCTCTTTCAGTCTGAGAAAAGGCTCACAACTGGCATGTCTACATTCTGAAGAGCAACGTATCAGGGCTTTTCCTTTTTTATTGCCTGCTCACTCATGGAAGTGAAGCTTCTCTGATTGTACTCATTGCTAAGTTGAATACAGAGCCAGGGAAACTAGCTTCGTTTTTCAACATCACGTAATTGAAAGTTTTCATTATAACTGTAATTCGTATTCTGTCTCCTGCGCGTACGATCTCTTCGTGGAATGTTTCACGTTTCCTGGTAAATCCTTTGCTGTTTTTTTCCCCGAGTAGTATTTTTCTTTTGCTTTTCACTCCAATTACGTTTCAGTTTAATTTCGAAAGGTCCTTGCATATCACTGAAGATACGTAACATCAAATGGAAAATATATAAACCGTTCTCATTTATTGCATTTCAAATAAACGTTTAAAGTAGATTCATAAAGCAATCGAAAACGTTTTACGAAGTTGTCATTTTCTTTTGAAATATAGTTTTTTTTTAAAAAGAAATTTCAAACTTTAATGGAACATGCAAGAAATAATGTGATGTAAAGTGTATTTTTTCTGTTCGGTTTAAAGTGTGTTTTCAGAAGTTAGTTCCTTCTCGTTTTATTGTAATGAGCAGATTTACATACACAATTGTCCCCTCCTCCGTTTGTATCAGCATCTGGGAAAAATCTGAAAAACAACCGGAAAACATGGCAGTGAAATTCCGAAGAGTAACTCAAATTCATTGAATAAAAAGGCGACTTAGATTGGCATGCGAATGTTATTCAAACACTATTGATTGCTGTATTTTGTTTATTTGTTGAACTTTTGCTTCTTCGTTATGGTATCTTAAGTGCGAGAAGATTCTTCCGTATTTTTATAAAACCGTCACTCCCTATCCCCCTCTCTCCAGTCAGGGGTCCACTCAGCTACTGTCACCACCGCCTCCACAGCCATCATCGCCACCACTATCATCACTGGAGCCAACGCTGCCTCCACAGTCGCTTACCCTGCCATCGTCATTGCCAGTCTTCGCTTCCGCCACCATCGCCGCCATCTCCACCGGCGCCGCCGCCGCCGCCATCACCGCCACCAACGTCACGACCACCGCTATCTGTACCTCGTCCTCGCTCTCAGTCACTGTCCCTTCCGCCGCCACTGTCGCGGCCGCCACCATTGCTGCCAACATCGACACAGCCACTGCCCTTACAAGCGGCTCCGCAGCCTCCACCGCCCACTGGCCGGCGCCCGTGCCGTCGCCGTCCCGTCCTCGGAGGCAAGAAGCGGCGGGGCGGGGAGCGCGCGGCCTCCTCTGGGCTAACGATCCCTGCCTCCCGCCATCCGGCTCGCTCTGTGGCGCGGCGGCCGCCGCCGCCGCATCAGCCCACGAGGGGTGGGGGGAGGGGAGGGGGAGAGCGAGAGGCGGCCGGCGGCGTCCGCTTGCTCGTTAGGGCGAGGCGAAAACACGACCGTCTGCCCGCGCGGCGCGTACGCAGCGTGCCTCTGCAGCTGTGGGGAGCGATTTTTGGGAATCAAAGGGAAGTCACAGCGCGGAAAACGGGAACAGGGAAATACCTTGTCACGTCCAGGTACACGTGAGAGCTTGGAGTTTGACAGCTTTATCGGTTGCTTCGGATTTTTAAGTTCTCGTTTTCATTTACGTCGACAAATCTAAATTGTTCTATTGAATGTGGAATGAATCGTTTAGACAAAAATGAATGTGAAGTTAATTATTCGTTTCCTTGTAAATGCATCTTGAGGTGCCATAAGTTTATTTCTCTTTCTTTTTGAAGGGTAAATTTAAGTCTTCTTTTATTGGTGGCAATCTAATGAAAAGACTAAGAGAGAATCTGCTATTTTTGTAATGGAACTCTCTATCAGCATGGATAAATTCGCTTCATGTTTAGATTTTTTTGTACAGCAGTTGAAACTGCAATAGGAAGACATTAGGCGTAACGAGTTACACGTTTCTCTTTAGTGTAGTATTTGACAATCATTGAGACGTTACTATTCCTTTAACCTCGTTCTACAGTTCTGACGGTCGATTAATATTCATCTGAAAATTCCATGCTATTTACTCCACACTCTTTTTATCCAGAGCACACGTATGGCTTTGGTCAGTGTGCTTGCTGTCCATACGTCACATTCCTCGTTTGTTCTGTTAAGGAAAATATAAATTTGTGAATTCCACAGAATCTATGGGGACGTTAAAGAAGCTCATGGCGATATAGGTGATGCTGATCAATCAATGGTATTCGTGTTGTGAAAGGACTTGTGGGTACCTCGACT